AAGGAATATAGTTTCAAAATTGTTGACCCATAACCTTATAAAATATATACAAAACATAGTCCATTTAGTTCAAGATTGGTTGCAGTTCTTCTTTGTGAACAGAGAAGGAGTTGGCCAATTTTTTCTGTAAAGAACCAAAGAGTAGCATGGTGGCTCATACCTGTAATATCAGCACTTTGGGAGGCTGAGGCGGGTGGATCACGAGGTCAGGAGTTCAAGACCAGCCTGACCAACATGGTGAAACCCCATCTTTAAAAACTAAATAAATAATAAAAATTTAAAAAAAAAAGATCCAAAGAGTAAATATTTTAGGCTTTGTAGGTGACATGGTGTCTATCATGACTGCTTAACTCTGACAATGTATAACAAAAGCAGCTATAAATAATTCATTGTTCCAAAAAAACTTTATTTACAAAAACAGGCAGTGAGAGAGATTTGGCCTGCAGACCCTAGGTTTGCCAGCTCTCAGTTTACTATGGAGTATGGTCAAAGCTCTCTGTTAACTGGGTTGTTTTCACATTACCTGTGGTCGTATTATTATTTTGGAACATAGGTAGATTTTTTTCTCTTTGTATTCCAGTTTAGGGATTTTCCCTCTTTGTTGATTTGATGTAATGTAAAACATTAATATGCTCTAAAAGTGCAAAACCATTCAGAAGGGTCTTCTCAGAGAGGACATGCCTCTCCTTTCCATAGCCTTCCAGCCAAATTCCACATATAACGTCACAGCTAACCAATCTCATTCGTTTCTGGTTTATTAACCCTGTGATATTTTGTGGGAAAAAAAAAAGAAGAAACATATGGATATGCTCATAATTTCTCAGAATTTACTCCCTATCAGTTCAGAGGAGCTCTTCCTCATTCTGGAAGGATGTACCATAACTTCTTCAACCAATTGACTACATAAGAGCAATTAGGTTACTCTAATGTTTTATATAGAAACAATGCTATAGTGAATAACCTTGTGCAAATGTAATAACTTTGGAGATGAATCTTCAGGGTAAATTCTTCTAGGTAGGAATGCCAGATCAAAGCACAGGCACATATAGTTTTGTTACATATTGCCAAATTTCCCTCCATAATGGCTGCAGCATTTCTGCATAGCCATCTACAGTGTATAATGTTGCCTATATCCCTCAGCTTTGTCAAGTATTTTGTCCACCCTTGAAATGTTGCAAATGATACATTAAGAATGGTGTGTAGCTTTAATTTGCACTTATCTAATTAGAAGTGAAGTTAAACACCTTTTCAAACATTTAAGGGCCAATGTTATATTTTATTTTGTGAACTGTCTATTTAGGTATTTTGCCTATTTTCTTCCTATCTGGTTTTATGGTTCTTCTTAAATTTTAAGATTCATTCTATATTATGGAAAATAACTCTTCATATGCGATATACTGTCTGTGACAAATATTTCCTGGAAATTTGACCTTTCTTTTGACTTTGTTTACAGTATCCAACATATCACTCTTCTCCTCTAGGCATCTGAATTTTTAGCCAAATTTAGAAAACCTTTTCCTATGTCCAGGTGATAGAATATTTACCCCCATTCTATCCTAGTATGTTTACGGTTTAATTTTTTACATTTAGAGCTCAAGTCATATAGGATTTTTTTTGTGTATGGTGCGTGGTATATGGTCCAATGTTTTTTCAAATGGAAATGGATATCTAGTTGCCCAACACCATTTATTAAAATGTCCATCTTTACTCCAGGGATTTGAGATGCTACCTTCATCGCATACCAAAGTTCCATAAGTTCTTGGGTTGACTTCTTAACCTTCTCCTTGATTCCACTGGTCTATTTGTCTAGTGGTGGGCCAGCACCACAATGTTTTCTTTCTTTATTTTCTCCTTGCAGCTTTAACTCAAAGGACACATTTTAATTCTTTAATTCTAAAGTTTTTGTAGTATATTTTAGTGTCTGATAAGGATAGTATTCTGTTATGGCTTTTATTTTTCAGTGCCTTCTTGACAGTTTTTCCACATTTATTTTTCCATGTGAATTTCACAAAAGAGCTTGTTACTACTTTTTTATTGGTATATGTTAACTTTATGAATTACCTTAGGGATAACTGACAACCTGATTTTAATCTATAAAAATATTTTTTGAGGGCAGGCATGGCTCACACCTGTAATCCCAGCACTTCAGGACGCCCACATAGGTGGATCACTTTAGACCAGGAGCTTGAGACCAGCCTGGGCAACATGGCAAAACCCTGTCTCTACTAAATATACAAACAGTTAGCTGGCATGGTAGCATGTACCTGTAGTCCCAGCTACTAGGACGACTGCGGTGGAGAATCACCTGAGCCCAGGAAGTCGAAGCTGCAGTGAGCTATGATCATGCCACTGCACTCCAACCTGGATGATAGATGTGAGACTCTTGTCTCAAAAAAAAAAATTAAAAAAAATTTATATATAATACATATTATTTATATTTATATATTATTTTATGTGTTTTTTATAAAAATGTATTTATATATATGTAAAATATATTTCTTTGATTAAAAATAATATATATATGTAGTGTTTTTATATTTATATAATATATATATTCATCTAATATATATAAAAATATATATATTATTTTTAATCAAAGAAATTTTAACATAGATTTGGTATTAGATGACTCCATTAACTTTGTTGAATATAGTAGTGGTATTGTGGTTATGTAAAAATCCATTTTTAATTTTTAGAGAAATGTGGTATATTTAAGGGTGTCATGGTATTTTGAATTAACTTTAAAATAATTTGGCCAGAAAGGGAGAAGGGAATGATAATACAAGCAGGTAATGTGTTAATAACTATTAGATTTAATAACTATTTATTAAATTAATAACCATTAAATTTAATAACTATTAAATCTAGATAATTCATGTTCCTCCTTGACCTATCAGCCCTGCGAACACTTATTTCTAAGATACAACTTAAGCTCCCTTCTTGCACTAAACTGTATTTTGGTCATAATATCTGCTGTTCCTCCCCACGGAGCCCGTCTCTGAAGAAAGATTATCTTTCCCACCACAATGACACCAGATTTGGCTTTGGCCAATGAAGGTTAGTGGGAAGTTAGTACACTTTCAAACAAGTTTTAAGAGCTACCATGTGGTCCCATCATTGCTCTTTTTCCCTATACCTTGAGAACCCCATGATCCAGATAGAAACTGCTCCTTTTGCTTGGATCCCAAAACCAATAGAGTTGAACCACACCTGAAGTAACCAAGAGAAAATGTAAGTGAGAAATGAACATTTGCTATTATAAGCCACTAAAGTATAGAGGTTGTTTATCACAATATTAGCTGGTCTAAGCTTCCTAAATTATCTTCCCTATGAAGGCTTTAAAGATTATTTCAGAAAGAATTGGCCCATTTATTTCTAACAATGCCCTTGAAGAAAAGACATTAACATGAATATGTGAAGAAAGAGAGAAAAAGAGACTCAGGCAGGGCACCAAGGCTCACACCTGTAATCCCAGCACTCTGGGAGACAAGGGTGGCCAGATTGCTTGAACCCAGGAGTTCAAGATCAGCCTGGACAACATGGCAAAACCTTGTCTCAAAAAAAAGAAATAAAATAAGGAAAGAAAAGGGGAAAGGAGAAAGAAAGAAAGAGACTGTTAGAAAGAAAAATAATATGCTCTCAAGAAAACTTTGAGAATAAACTTGTGGTTGCAGGCAAGGAGAAATATGGGAACGAAGCACAGGTGAGACAGTGACAGATAATGGGTTTGTTATAATGTGTGATGGGGGAAATTTGTTAAAGTTCACAAATTGCTAAAAGGTATGAATATAAACACAGAAAAGGAGTATGTGACACTAACTCCTACGGACCCCTGCAGTCCAAAGAAAAGAAAAAGAAGAGAATAGCCCAAAAGAGAGATGTAAGAGGCTGGAGACTGCAGAACATTACGGTGTCAAGCAAGACAAAAGAAACAATTTCAAGGAATGCTATTGGCATCCAGATTTTCAATATCAAGATTAATTTAAACTAGGTCATTTTTTTGTTTGTTTGATGTTTTTTGGGTTTTTTTGAGACGGAGTTTTGCTCTTGTTTCCCAGGCTGGAGTGCAATGGCACGATCTTGGCTCACTACAACCTCTGCCTCCTGGATTCAAGTGAATCTCCTGCCTCAGCCTCCGGAGTAGCTGGGATTACAGGTGCCCGCCACCACACTCGGCTATGAATCAGGTCATTGTCCTCTGAATCAGTTATATAGGTATTAACAGTGGGAGAGAAAACAGTATGACCAGAGAAAAATAAAAATAAAAACAAAACCTAGTTGGACTAACTAGTTAAGGCCAAATCAAAACACGCAAAACCATTTACGAAAATAATAAATCTTTTTTTTTTTAAAGGAAAAACACAGCCCACACAGAACCAGTCTGAAATGGATGAATCTATACTAATTTAGATGGAGCCAGGTCAGATGGGCGCTAGTTCAAACCAGAGGGAATAAGATCAAAACACATCAAAGAAGATGAAAATGGAAAAAAGTAAACCTGATTAAATATATCAGGAAAACAGCCATGCCATTTGGAGGAAACTCCCAAAGAAGCCCCTGCCTGAAACTGGTTTGTGTCTCTAAAAATGTAATTCTTCTCTACATGTTTTATCTAGAAATATGGGAATACCTAGAACAGTGCTATCCAGTACAGCAGCCACTGGCCATTTGTTTATTGAGCACTTGAAACATGGCTAATCTGAACTAAGATGTACTCTCAGTGTAAAATACACACTGGGTTTTGAAGACAGTCCAAAAAATAAGTAAAATACCTAATTAACAAGTTTTGTTAATTTCATGTTAAAATGATACTTTAATATATTGTATTAAATAATATATATATTCTTAAAGTTGATTTGACCTATAGATTTACTTTTAAAAATATAGTTGCTAAGAAATTTTAAACTACCTATGTGGCTCACATTATATTGCTACTAGACAGCACTGATGTAGAACAAGGAGTGGAAAATGACTGCCCACAAGCTAAATCCAGTCCTTATCACCTACAAGCTAAGAATGGTTTTTACATTTTTAAATGCCTAGAAAAAAGTAAAAATAGTAATATTTCATGACACATAAACATATGAAATTCAAATTTCAGTGTGCATAAAGGAAGTTTTACTGGAACATAGCCATGCTCATCCATTTACATATCATTTATGGGTGCAACTCAGTGGCAAGTTAAGGGTTGTTACAGAGGCCTTATCACCTTTAAAAACAATTCTTGGCCGGGCGCGGTGGCTCAAGTCTGTAATCCCAGCACTTTGGGAGGCCGAGGCGGGTGGATCACGAGGTCAAGAGATCGAGACCATCCTGGTCAACACGGTGAAACCCCGTCTCTACTAAAAATACAAAACATTAGCTGGGCATGGTGGCGCGTGCCTGTAATCCCAGCTACTGAGGAGGTTGAGGCAGAAGAATTGCCCGAACCCAGGAGGCGGAGGTTGCGGTGAGCCGAGATCGCGCCATTGCACTCCAGCCTGGGTAACAAGAGTGAAACTCCGTCTCAAAAAAAAAAAAAAACAATTCTTGTTTGGCCCTTTACAGAAAACGTTGGCCAATCCCTGATCTAGAGTTATGTTGCAATTGATAACATTTATCAACCCAGATTTAAATAATCATTTTAAGTTTGTAAACAAATGAAAATGAAAAAAATATGGTTTATGAAACCCCCAAACCACAATAAACTTGACTCTTAATTTTAACTTGTGTCACAGAGATGCATCTCTCCCTAGTCTGCCCCTTGCAAACCATGCCCCAGCCTCACTGGCCTCCTTGCAGTTTCATATACTGGGCAGGTACATCCCCTCACGAAAGTCTTCACGTCAGTAATTCCCTCCACCTGAAATGCCCTTGCCCTAGATACCAGAGTTCTAACCTCCTCACCATATTATGTCTTTAGCCAAATGTTACTTCACTGATTTCCAATACCCAGTTTTAAAATTCAGCCAGCCACCCTATCACACCCAATACCCCTTTATCCTGCCTTATTTTACTATTTTTTACTATGTTTCACTTATCACCTTTTAACATACCATATGATAATATCCCTGTATATAGAGCTTTTTGTTGTCTATCTCCTTACACTAGAAAGTAAGCCCCATGGAGGCAGGGATTACGATTTTGTTTACTAATGTGTTGTAAGTGTCTAGAACATTTTTTGTGGTACATAGTAGGTGATCAATAAATCTCTACTGAATTAATGAAGGAAAGGAAAGAACACAGCCTCACCCTATGAGAGAAGATTCCTGTAATTCTCCATCATCACTTCTCTGTATAGATTCCTCTGCTCTGGACTCAGTCTCTTCCATTCTGCTTCCGTGCAGTCACATCCCTGAATGTAACTGGTACCTACAAACAACCAGTAAATTAATGTATAGCAAGCCACCATCAATCTTCCCTGTGTGTAGAGCACAGCTGGTGGCTCTGGAGAGCCTGGATATGCAAGTTGATGTAATTCGTCAGAGTACACGGTTCTCCATATGAAGTTCTTCTGAGCACTACTGCATGCCTGGCTTTCTGTTTTTTGTTTGTTTGTTTGTTTGTTTGAGATAGAGTTTTGTTCTTGTTGCCCAGGCTGGAGTGCAGTGGCGCAACCTTGGCTCACTACAACGTTTTCCTCCCATGTTCAAGCAATTCTCCAGCCTCAGACTCCTAAGTAGCTGAGATTACAGGCATGTGCCACCACACCCAGCTAATTTTTTGTATTTTTAGTAGAGACGGGGTTTCTCCATGTTGGTCACGCTGGTCTCAAACTCCTGATCTCAGGTGATCTGCCCCCCTCAGCCTCCCAAACTGCTGGGATTACATGCATGAGCTACCATACCTAGTGCTTGGCTTTCTGTTAAAACCTGTGAGGAGCATAACTGAGCACAAAACACATTCTAGGCCCTTGACACATATAATTTCACTGGAGATATGATTTGTGAATTAGTTTGTAAACCTCAGGGAGTGTTTAGGACAGTGACCTTGAGGATTCATAAGGAAGGAATTCAGAGACGGAACAGCAGAGAATGGGCTGCAGAAGGAATAAACGCATCGTGGACTTGGCGCTAGTGCTGGGCAGTAGGGAGTGGTGAAGATTTAGAGGAGAAAATGGAAGAAAACTTTGATTACAGAGAAAAATGGAAATCAACAGATGGGGTCTGGAATGAGCATTTTTTAGAAGTTTAGGTTACTAAATGGGATCTGTAAAATCCTTGTCTTTGCTATGTATTTTAACAACTTTTTTCAACAAAGCCTAATGCTTCACTCATCTACCCAGATGTTGACCACCTTTTCCCTTCCCAAGAAAGAGAATATACATCTGTTCTCTGCGAAATGAGCCAGCAATGCAGGAAAAAAAATGTAACCCCCAATTCACCACTATTTGGGCCTTTCCCTCCTTTTCCTGGGGCCAGTCAGTATCATTAGAAGGCAAGCCTAAGGGAAGAAAAAGAAGCCATGAGAAACCAGACCTCCTTCCCCCAGCCATGACACTCCCTGAGCAGCTCTTCTGAGCCTTAGGAAGGAGTCACTTTACTCAGAGGTGACCTCTGAAGCATTCTTAGGTGAACCTGGAGTCTTGGCTCCCTCTTCATCTCTCCAGCCCCTCAACAATTCTCACCTGTTGCTTTATGATTTTGAGCCAATTTCTTCATGGTCTCTAAATTTTCCCCATTCGTTGAAAGGAAAATCTCCTACCAGTCTTCATCTCCCAGTGCTGAAGGATAAGGCAACATCATGGCCCCAGAGTCAGCCCAGTGTGTGCCTTGAAATTCTGCCAGAGGTCCAGGTACATGTTATTTCATCTCAAGATGGATTCTGCTGCCTTCTTCCAACATTAATTGTAAAAGCCCATCTTTTTTCCATGCAGCCAGGACCTGTGGGATGAAGAAGCAATGTGCTATTGCTGGGGCTTTTATTGTGGGCCCTAGGCCTATGCCTCTTCAACAGGGATCCTGTCCTCTCACACCCTCCTTATTCAACAAACATGGAGTCTCCGTCTATAGGGTTCCCTGGATTTTCTACCTTCATTCACTCTACCTTCATTTCTAGGCCCTCATGCTTATATTCTGCCACCATCCCTCAGCTCTCAAAATTTATTTCTTCTGCCTCTGCACCTCAGATTCAAACTCTATGTTTTGGATCAGTCTCTGCTACTACCTCAAGCCCGAATCAGAGAGAAGACAGAATATAACATAATGCCTGTGGAGAAAGAGCGCCTCTGAATGTTTCCTGCAGACCAATCAGTGCATGCAGAACTCAGCTTCTGACTCCCCTGCCCTGGCCCAAGTTTCCGTCTATATTCAATTCCCTATGTCTTGGATGGGCACAGTGGCTTACATCTGTAATGCCAGTACTTTGGGAGGCTAAAGCAAGTGCATTGCTTGAGCTCAGGGCTTCAAGACTAGTCTGGGCAACATGGCAAAAATACCATCTCTACAAAAAATACAAAAATTAGCTGGACATGGTGGTGTATGCCTATAGTCCCAGCTACTCAGCAGGCTCAGGTGGGAGGATCACCTGAGCTCGGGAAGTCAGGACTGCAATGAGCTGAGATCGTGCCACTGTACTCTAGTCTGGACGACAGGAGTGAGACCCTGTCTCAAAAAAAAAAAAAAAATCCTATATCCCTGTATTCTGAGGCATTTAGGAGATCAAAACTCAGTCCTTCTTACTTAAGGGAGAGAGCTCCAGGTCTCACAACTACTCTGAAGAGACAACCCCCCCACCCCAGCTTCCATTTTTATGCATGCCTACCACATGACCTTATCAGAGATGTACATTTGTGTATCCTGATGGGCCCAAGTCAAAGCCTTACACTGATGTGGTCCCAAAGAAGGCAGGTGGTATTAGGAGCTATGCCACCTTCAGAAGCTCCTCAGATGCTGTCTAAGATTTTACCCCGAATGACTACAGGCCTATTGTTGCCTAGTACCCTTCTGAGACTAGCTGGGGCCTCTAAGCAGCTCTTGTAATTCATCCCCCAACACCACAGGCAGAATGATCACTCCATCTTCTGTCAAACCTGGGCATCATACCATATTGCAATTTCTCTATTTATGTGACTGTCTTTACTAAACTATGATGCTTCTTGTAAGATGAAATGAATCTCAGTCTTTTTGCCAATCTAATTCTAGTGATAGGGATAAAAGAGGCCTTTGTGGTAGATTTTATCATCGTTCCCAATTACTTGTTGCTCTATAAAAGGACTGTACTTCCCCGTCCCAGACACCAGGCTTGACCTTGTAACTTGCCTTGGAAAATGAATGTGAGTGAAAGTGACAATGCCATTTCTAAGCACTGCATAAATCCGCCATTTCTCTTGTTCTCAGAACTATGTCCCCAAAGGGACTGTGATTCTATTGTAAAAGGTCATGGTACAGAGCTAAAGCCAGCATATAATACCTATGGTACAACATAGCTGAAGCTGACAAAGCCTTTCTCCTAGTAATACTAGTATCTGTAGCTAACATTTGTAAGGCAAGATCTGTACTAAGTACAGATTTTTTTTTTTTTTTTTTTGAGACAGAGTCTCGCTCTGTTGCCCAGGCTGGAGTGCAGTGGTGCAGTCTCAGGTTCAAATAATTCTCCTTCCTCAGCCTCCTGAGTAGCTGGGGTTACAGGCGCCTGCCACCATACACAGCTAATTTTTTGTACTTTTAGTAGAGACTGGGTTTCACCATGTTGGCCAGGCTGGTCTTGAACTCCTGACCTTGTGATCTACCAGCCTCGACCTCTCAAAGCATTGGGATTACAGGCGCAAGCAACTAGCCACTAAGTGCAGTTTCTGATAATCTTCACAACACAGCCAAGAGGTAGATGCTGCTATTCTTTCCATCTCACAAAGGAAGAAACTGGGGCACCAAGGGGCTGCTTTATTTGTCTTTAAGATTACACAGCTACCAAAAGTCAGAGCCTGGCCCAAGGTTGGGCTGAGTTATTCTATAATAATAACCTCCACACAATCTCAGTGACTTAATGTAATAAAGGTTTATTTCTCATCAGGCTCCATGACTATTATCTGTCAACTAATTCATCTTCACTCAAGGACTGGGGCTAATAGTGCAGCCCCTATTTGGAAAATGGCCAGTAGAAGTAGCAGAGGAAGACAAAAGATGGAGACCCATATACAAGTGCTTAAAAATTCTACCCAAAGAGACAATTCTGACCATAGCTCACTGGCAAATCAAGTCACCTGGTCACTCCTGAGTTCAACATGATAGGGTGTATACCTATAAGGAGTGGCCAAACAATGAGGATGAAGAGTGAAACATGCTACTATAAGGACCCAAACCCATAAACCCATTCTCACCTAGCCCTAGTCCCCACTATTGATTCAGCCTTCAAAGTAGAAAGATTGTGGTTGTGCCTAGAAGACAAAAATGAAGGACATGGTCCCATCACTTGCCATACCATCACAGAACAAGCAGGGATGTTGTCCAGGAGGAACCTCATTCAGCACAGAAAGAACAGGATGCTCTCAGGGTGGATCCAAAGAATGAAAATGATGCTGCTATTTAGGCTATAAGATGAAGTCTGCCCATCTATCCAGGAAGAAACACTCCAGATAGAGGACAGTCTGATCAAGAAAGGAGAAGGGGCTGGGTGCAGTGGCTCATCCTTATAATCCCAGTACTTTGGGATGCCGAGGCAGGTGAATCACCTGAGGTCAGGAGTTCGAGACCAGCCTGGCCAGCATGGAGAAACAGTCTCTACTAAAAATATAAAATTAGCCGGGTGTGGTGGCACATGCCTGCAATCCTTGCTACTCAGGAGGCTGAAGCGGGAGAATCGCTTGAACGCGGGAGGCGGAGGTTGCGGTGAGCTGAGCTCACACCATTGCACTCCAGGCTGGGAAACAAGAGCAAAACTGTGTCTCAAAAAAAAAAAAAAAGAAAGAAAGGAGAGGGGAAGGGGAGCAGGGGGAAGGAGAGGAAGAGAAAGAGAAAGAGAGGGAGAAAAACAAAATGGATAATTTCTTAGGAGAATAAAAATTGCCTAAAATCAAATATAGGTGAAAAAAAAAAATGAACAAATTCTTAACCAGAGAAAAAAAGTGAAAAGGCAGCCAAAGATCTGCTCTACAAAAGGCATCAGCTTCACATAATTCTATTATCCAGTTCAAGCCAAACTTTGAGGAGCATGTAATTCCTGTAATAAATATTAAATCCCCAAAACATTTATTTAAATGATTCCTAACTCATTCATCAAGGACACCAAAAATAAAACACTACAAAAAAAGAAAGCTAAGGGTCAATTCCATTTGTAAAAATAGATGCAAAAATCCTATGCATAAAACACTACCAAACTGAATCCAGCTGTACCTTAATGAAATAATAATATATCATACGAAGTAGACTTTATCCTAAGAATGATAGGACAGTTTCACATCAGAAAAGCTACTACAGGAGGGGAAACTTCCAATACTCTTTCATTAAACTGATCATCTGGAATACTTTTACCTAAGAAAAGGTGACTTAATTGTTCACATATCACTCTATGTGCTTCATCACATCTATCCATACAGATAGGCGAATATATGGACATTCAGTGTATTAAGAGCAAATTTTTCAACTTTTGTGTATGCATGAAAATGTCACAAAAAAATGTTAAGGGAAAATCAGATCCAAAAAGACTTAAGTATTTGCAAAATACATGATGAGTCTAAAAAAGCAATTTATATCTGCTTATTGCTATTTCCCAGAGAAATCAATGTATCTGTCTTCTTTTCATTCCAAAGGTAAATAAGTCTGTCTCTCACTACATTATAAGAGACTTCAGGGATGAAAAGTTATCTGTGGCCATAAAGCAAGCATACGAAATCTGCAGCAAACAAACACTGCAAGCACAACTTGCTGTATGAAATTCTATGTCTCAGCCACCTTCATGGATATAATCTATTAGTTCCATTTGATGCTAACTGAGGTCTCAGAGACGGCAAATGATGTAAGTTACACAGTACATCCACATAAACTTCGCCTTACCCTTTTGTTTGCCAACTTCATTGTGACAAATTGATTTCCTTATAAAAATACAAATATTTGAAGTGCATAATCTTATCTAGAAGACTACTGAAATGTCCAGTTAATGAGATCTCCCATGTCCAGCTATCTGTTTGACATAACACATAAACATCCCAACTTTCTCTAAATTCTTGGTCAGTTATCTTTTTCTCAAGAGCTCTCCAGCTATTACATTATGTATTTGTTCCCAATGTCTATAACAGATGTTTTAAAGTGCACTGTCCCTGTGTCAGGCAGGCATAAGATGACAACCCAAACTCGATAACTGAGGAGAGTTTAGTAAATGAACAATTTACAAAGGCACAGTCAGGGTTAGGTGAAACAAAAGGATGCTGCAGTCCCATGGATGGTCACAAGAGCAAAGGGTCTTTACCAACACCAGGTCTAAATGGGAGGGAGTAAGCTACCAGAACCAGGAGCTAGAACCATGTAGAAAGGACTGTTTGACAGAAGTTTTGGCCTTCAACAGAGGTGACCCAGCAAAGACAGAGCCAAGGGACCAAACACATAACAACAGAGGAGGGAACTCTGAAGCTAGATAAGGTATCTGAAAGAATTCTCCTAAAGCAAATGAGTAATTATCAGATATTCTAATTCTGTCAACCCTGTGAACTACAGCAGAATTTCTGGTATAGAATAAAGGAGATATAAATATGATATGTGATATGGTCCGGCTCTGTGTCCCTCCCCAAATCTCATGATGAATTGTAATCTCCAATAATGCAGGGGGACCTGGTGGGAGGTCACTGGATCATGGGAACAGATTTCCCCGTTGCTGTTCTCATGAGAGTGAGTTCTCACAAGATCTTGTTGTTTGAAAGCGTGTAGCACTTCTCCCTTCCCTCTGTCTTTCC